AGAGAGAGAGAGAGAGAGAGAGAGAGAGAGAGAGAGAGAGAGAGAGAGAGAGAGAGAGGAAAGCGTGATAGATATTCGTTCCTTCATCGTCGCCATCGAGATGATGATGATTTTCAGGACGGCGGTCGTGTTTAGGATGCTCGTATGCGGCCACATGCCATTGATGACGACGGGTATGATGATGGGGATTGTCATCGTCACGGTGATTATGACAACGATAATGATGATGACGATGACGGTGACGACGACGATGATGATAATGATGATGATGATGATGATGATGATGATGATGATGATGATGATGATGATGATGACTATGATGATGATGATGATGATGATGATGTTGATGACGATGATGACGATGATGACGTTGACGATGACGATGAATCAACCCTTCCACGGGAGGAAGTGACGACTGTTCATCCAAAATTTTTTTAAAGCTTTGCTACGGAATACCGGATGCCTTTTTTGTGACATCGTCGAACTTTGTTCTCCATCCGTGTTGGAAGAGAGTCAAACATTCGTATGGAGTCATTTTTTGCTCGTTTGGGATTTACGCACTTTGCTCGGCGCGAGATTTTTATTTATTTATTTATTCACAGTAGTGTCACATCAATTCTTTTTTTTTGTTTTTTTTTTTGTCTTTGTTGTTCGGGTGCGATGTTCTCGACGATGGAATGGTACTTGGGGCGTCGTGTATGGATGTGCAGTGTGTTCCGATGTACTTCACCGCACCGGAATTCGTCAACCGAACTGTTCAAGCAAACGAAATGAATATGTCACTCGCACAGGGTCCGGGGGATGTTATATGCGACTTCGTAAATGTATTGTTGAAAGTGAGTTTGTTGTTCAACATTATGCGTGTCAATTATTTAAAAGACGTAGGCCCCTCGAAATGCATGTGTTTCGTCCCTCCATCTCGCTCTTTGCAACCTTCATTGCTTGTATCACGTGCAATGAATTGTTAGGTCGTCCGACATGAACATGTTGCGGTAGGGAATTGGGGTTGTACAAATGTTTGCCACAAGGTGCTCCATAGGGCGAGAAACAGGAGAGAGACGAAATACAAAAACACACGACTGCGCAATCTCCGATAATGACGAAAACAAAACTTTATTTGAACTTTGTCAAAGTACACGAACGAATAAATGTTCCGGAAAGGTAAAAAAACCGCATCTTCTGAACCCATCCATCCGCCCGATATGAGGAAAAATGACCCTTTGATAAATCGAATAGGATGTATTGACGACCGACAATACCGACACTAAGCTTTTATGCCCGTATCCCCGTCCTCCGACCAACCTTCATCTGCCTCAAAGTCTTCTCCAAGACCTCGGACGTCCTAAAATGGGTCGAGACACATAACCACACAAAAAACGAAAGAAGAGCACTACCACTATGCGCTCGGTGGTGGAGCCCCGTGGACTGCCACGTGGTGGCGCACGTGCTCCACCAGGTTGGCCCTGATGTGTTCCGCGAGTTCCCCCCCATAAGTGGGGTCATCCTCTGTCGGCGCCTCGATATTCAAGTCCGGGAGGTGGCTGTTGAAGCGACGGCGCCGGCGTCGTCGTCGACGGTTCCCACGTTCGTCGTTGTCTCCATCGTTGTCACTGCTATCTTCCATCAGCGCCGGGTCGATCTGCACGACGTGCTCGATCATCAGGTTGTGAAGAATGTAGATGACCATGAATTCTTTGCAGAATGTCTTCAGGTTGCAAATATGTCTTCGAATGAAGTTCCTCCAAACCGCCTTCAGACGTCCGAAAGCCCGTTCAATGCACGACCTCGCTGCACTGTGGCTCAAATCGAACGCTCGATCCGCCGGCGTTCGAACAAAACGGCCAAAAGGAGTCATGAGCCATGGAAGAAGAGGGTACCCTTGATCGCCCAACAGATAACGACCAACATGTTTACCGTCGTGTAACACGGCACCTCCCTCAGCCAACACTCCTCTACCCTATGTGGCATTTATGAACAATGGTGACATGCGCAAAGCTCTCGAATCATGCACAGACCCCGGACAACCCACATAAACACTGCAAATCCGACACTTGTGGTCGCAAACGACTTGCGCCACAACCGAAACCCCCCCAGGGTGGTGGTAGTAGCACTCCGATCGTACTCCTTTCGGCTTGTCAACATACAAATGCGTGCAATCTATCGCGCCTACACAACCGGGGAACCCTTTTCTCTCGAAGCCATTTTGCACGTCCTCCAACCATTGCCCTGTGGGAAACCGTAGCAGATGGCCGTACTCCCAAATCATTGCGTCGGCCACTTCCTCGTTGCTGCGCAAAGCACTTGCGAGGCCGATGCCCAAATTGTGGGAGGACTGCCTGTAGTAACCGCCAGTTGCCCATCTCATCAGAGCGCATGCAAACTTTTGTCCGGCGGGTATTGACAATCTGTAGTTCGTGGACGACCGCTGGATATGGGGGCTGACGCGAGCAAGAACTTCGAAGAATAGGGGCCGTGGGAGTCTGCAGAACCGAAGGAAAACCTTGTCATGCTCAGCCCCCACTCGCTGGAGATCCTTCCAAAGACCGCCGCTAAGCTCCAACACCCACAGACGACGTCTGCGGTCCATTGTCCTCCCCGTCTCCTCCACCGCCAACGAACATAGACCAAAACCGTGCAGCAGCCCCCCCGCCAGCAGTGTAACCGCAACGGAGACATTTTGGTGGCCAAAGGCATCAACGATACCGCCTCCACAACTGCCAACGCGGTCACGTTTCGTCTGTTCACTCACTGGAAGAGGACGAAAAGCAGCATGCACATCGCATCCTCGGTTTCCTGACTATTCATCCCACATCCTGACTCCTCCATGGCCTCCGCCCACTACAACCTCCAACACGTCCACTGACAAAGCTCAAAGCGATGGCCGCGTACCAACGCTTGCACAGCCACCCGCACCACAACACTGCGGGAACGCTGGATATGCACGAGTACCTCCCACACGAACCCCAGGATTTTGAATTCTGGGGGTGACCTGCAACGGCACGTCCCAAAAAAAATGTCGTTGCTACTTCCATTGCCTGTTGCCCTGGGGTGCCGCACTGGAACTCCGAAAACCGTCGCATGGTGCCGTGGATGGCATGCACCGTCACACACGGACAAGCCAACCTGAAAGACCAGCATGTCCGCTGGTCCATCCAGGACGCCCGTTCTTTCCTTTTCGGGAGGGGACCCTCTCGAGTTTCCTAAAACGGCAAGTCGGGCCGGTGGGGTCTGCATGAATCGTGCCAAAAACTTTCCACTGACGTTGGCCACCAGCCGGCTGCCAACTTCCTTTTCCAGCCGCCGGGCGCTGGGGTCCAAGCCTTTCTCGGCCTTTTGGCTAAGATCAAGTATAGTATCTGTTCTGATCAGTTTAATATCTGATCCGTGGTTCATCAAAAAAAAAAAAAAAAAAAAAAAAAAAAACATGCCCTGACACCGAACCGTACCCTTTGCGGCACCCCGCCGGTTGCCCGCCGCTCCCCCGCGCCTGACACCGAGCCGTACCCTTTGGCGGCGGGGCCCCGCCCGCCGACCGCCGGGCAGACCGGTGGTGCGCAGATCCAGTTCCGCGCGCTTCAAGATGACTGCGCGCAGGACCCCACATCGCTCAGCCCTATAAAAAGCCTCCGTTTTCTCAACCCCACAAAAAGAGTCCCCAAGCAAGTACTCGCCTAGCCATAGGGCCAGCTCTCCCTCGTGCGACGTTGTGCGTGGATAACATGAACCTGGCCACAAACTTGGCCAGGTTGGGGCTCACACAGCATGAACATAGCAACCATGCCCCAGGCCTATACTCACTGATACCACGCATGGCATGGGGGCGCAGCCAGGACGGCAGGGGAACCGCCGAGCTAATACCCGGCAGACAAACAAGGTCCCATCTCACCTTCCAGGTGGAGACGATATGCCCTCAGTAGTCCCTCGGTAGAACGCCGGGCCCTACCTGTCCAACTTTATAGGCTGGCTACATTTCGAACATTGAGCCAGTAGTATCTATTTGAGCCACTGGCGCCGCCCAATGGCATCGACCGGACGAAAAAAAAACTGATACCGTCGATCTCGGTGGCGAAGGAACGGCCAGATAATCGTGAAAACCTTCCCCGAACTAGAAAGGGCGCTACGACACGCCGCGCACCACCATTTCCCACGCCGCAGCACCATTTCCCACGCCACGGCGTTCCCTCACAAGAGTACCGGTCGGTGCCCGGTTGGCAACCGCAACCCTATTAATCGCGCAACCTCGCGCTCTAAACCTGCTTACCCGGTCGACAACATTCCCCATACGGAAACGGACTGCTAAACGACAAAAGACATCCATCTATAGGCAGCCATCCTGGCTGCGAACACTGATCATCAGAGCGTAATTTTTTTTTTTTTTTTTTTTTTTTTTCGGAGCGTAATTGTGGTCTGAGGCACACCAGCAAGTTCTACAGAGGGCGAGGTCCCGCTAGCAAAGAGGAGTGGATTAAGCTCCTGAATCTGGACGTTTTTTTGAGAAGCGATGCGGAAAAGCAGTTGATTCTCGACGTCTGGATTCGCGCGCTCTATACAATTCTCTTTGCTTTTTTTTCTTTTTTCTTTTTTCTTTTTAGTGGGACCTAGTCCCTGTCCGGATTCGACAGGTAATTGAATTGTCCAGATTCGACAGAAAAAAAAAAAAAAAAAAAAAATCTTCATCACGGGAGCGCGACCACTATCATAAGCGGGCACAAAGCTAGGTTATTCCTGCTCGAGCCACACGGCTGCCACCTGGCTGCACTAATGAAAATGAGGGGGTCAACATGGCCAGCATGGACAGACCCATACGCCAGGCAGTCTTTTTCTTTTCTTTTTCCTCCTTTGATGGTCAGGCACTTTGGGCCTCGCTGCAGTACTCTAGATTCGAGCTTTTTCTCGAGTGCCGCATGGCTGCACCTAGGGCATCGTTCTACACCACTTGAAACTCAAGGGGCGTGGTCCCACTAGCAACAAGGATCGGATCGAATGCCTGAATCTGGACGTAATTGTGGAGAGGTGCAGGAAATCGAGATTGAACTGCTTTTCTGCACCTCTGCATAAAACACATCCAGATTCAGGAGCTCGATCCTATCCTTTTTGCTAGTGGGACCTCGGCCAAGGATTTTCAAGGAAGCATGGTTCCACTCCTCCCTACACCCATTTGGATGTCCGGAATGTTTCCACTTTTTTTTTTTTTTTTTTTTTTAAGTGTTTCCACATCTCGTATGCCTGGATCATCCCACACTGGCTGCCCTTCCAAAAAAAAAAAAGAAAACAATGAAAATCTCTCAAGGGAGCCTTGGCAGCTCACTTGAGGCTCAAGGGCTGGGACCTTGTCCCACTTGCACCGTTTAGTTGAGGCAGCTCAACGGTGCGGCAGCTAAAAAAAATCATTCTAATTCAATTTCAAATGAGAAATGCATTTATAAATGGCACCAATACAATTGTTCTGGTTTTTCTTTTTTCACAATTGGAGTGGCGTAGGGGCACTTCCACAGCAGAAAATGAAGAGTTTCCAGAATCCCATACAAAAATGGCAAATGGAAGGAGGCTGGTACAGTTTCTCTAAAAAAACGCCCTTTGGGGGAACAAGAGGGTAGTTGAGCTAGCTGTCTCGAAAAAAGAAGACAGCTAGCTCAACGGAAAGTGGTGAGGGTAGGGGGAGTAGTATTTGAAGTTTTTTTTCCACAATTTATTCAAAATTCTATAACCTAAAAACAAAGTTTTTTGACTGAAAAGAGATTTTAAGTATAAAACATCTAAAGAACAAGGAAATCCTAACTTTAGTTGGAGAAATTTTGTACAATTATACTTCCAAAAGCGAGAAATATGTTTTCCTGGTTGAATAGCCATAAAAAAATAAAGGTCACTACGTACATAATGTATATTTCCATACAGAGAATAGAAAACGTTGTTAGCCAACCAACAAAGACAAGGAGGAGGTTAAAAACGAGTTAGGGGAACTCAATCACCCTTCGTGAGTTAGGGTGCCCTTGAAACAAACATTTTCAAGTGGTGTCGAACGAGGCCCTTACTCAAGAAATGGGCGCTCAAAAACCTGTTCTAGAGCTGTCAGAATAACTCTAGAGAAGTAATAGCGTCGCCATCGCTCCACTTACTGGATAAGGGCGTCATTAGACCCTAGGCTCCTTGGAAATCCGATTTTTAGGAAATCCGCGTCGTTACACCGCGTCCTAAATCACCAAATTCCTTGGACAAATGTGAAAACGCTACCAAGATATTTCCTTTGGTTCCTCAGAATCGCCAGGCAAAACGTCCTTGGATTCAAGGGGTCCTTGTGAGGTCCCTTGGGCTCAAGGAGCCGCAATTGACGAATCGTCGTGGAGCATGCACCGACACCAAAATTTGGAGTTTATCGTGGTGCACAGGTTGTCCATGGTCCAGACGGCCGGACACCGCCGGCTCCCAGTAAGGGACGAGCCTCCAACGGTGTTGTGTCGTTACCATTGGCGCGTAAAGGCATGGGGGTGGTTCTTCAGCTCCGAGGCTGTTCATGTGGCGGGCGTCTCCTTGTGCACGTCGTTGGGCATGGTGTCCAACGGTCGACTTTTTCGATTTTTTACCGTCAACGTGTGAGCAGTGCTGGCCGACAGCAGTTCTCCTTGACAGTTCTCCTCGCCTGATGCGATTCATGGCAGACGCGCTTCGGCGGGTCCCGCTCCTGCTGCTGGCCACTCTTCTCCTACTCCTTGTGGTCTTGCTGCACATGTGTGTCGTCGTGTAGGATCCGGGGAGCAAACGAAAATGACGCACGGCGAGGAAGGCAACAATGGAAAGGCGGGAAACCTCCACCGGACTGCACAGACGTGCGATCGACTTCTCCACTCCAAACCTGACGGTAGCGGCGCGTCGTGCACCCGCGTATGACCCCACATTGTACAGTTATCTGCCACCACACGAGCAGCCGTTACCGCCGGATCCGGAAGAGGAGTGGCTGGAGGATCTGTCCCACACTCTGCCACTGGGGAGCGGATCTACGCAGCACTGGATGGGCAGCCATTGCCGACAAAGGGAGGCAGAGAGAAGTCGCCACTTGTTCTCGGCAATGCTAGAGAAGGGTATCGACGGAGGCGACACAGAGATTGTGGACTTGGATTTCGGCTTGTCAAGCGGGGCTGCTGCACCAGTTACGAACAGTTGTGCATCAAGCCACGTCGCCGCCATGATCGTCGGATAAACGTCTCTGCATGGGGCGGGAGTGGCGGGGCGTGGTGGAAGGTCGTGTCCGGTGGATGGCAACGCAGATGGGTGTCGTCCAGCGCCCTCCTTCAATCAAGGCGCGGGAACATCTGGCAACAAGGCGACGACAGTGTTAACCCCCCACTCGACAACGCCTTCACCCCCACCACGCCGGAGGGTGGCCGCACCGGCGGCGAACACGACCACTACGCTGCCGGAAGAATTTGGCAGGCACATGTCGGAGTCCTGTCGCCAACAAATGCGCGGACCGACCACTGAGAACATAACAAATGAGGTGTCAAGGATGTGTGTTGGAAGCGATGCGAATGCGGACGACACCCGGAGGGCGACTGGTGACGAATCTTTGGATTTTCATTGTGTGGACGAAGCAGACGATGCGGAAGAGTTGGAGATTCGACCCCTGGGTGTGCGTGGTAGAGGGAGGGGTGGATGCGGGCATCAACAGAATCGGGGATCCTGTGGTGGTCGAATATCGAAGGTACCTGCAGGCGACAAGGGTGGCAAACATCCGACTTGGAATGTTGAGGAGATGTTGAAGCTCGCTCGGACGAAGTGGGATCGGCAAGCTCGTTTCGATGGAATGCCGCACAATTACGGCCGCATGCGCAAGGTCTGTCCAAGCAGTATAAGGGTCAGTCCAGGTCTGCTGCTGCGCATGTGCTACGCTTCGTAGGCGTTAATTCCTTGTTTCGCCTGACGGTTGTCTTCCACGGTGCCAGGAGTTCATCGTCTGCGCTATCGCTATACACCTGCTCTATCCTCACGGGCACGTCCGTCGGTGGCATAGTACGTGGATGCTTCACGATCCGTTCGTCCGCCATCGCCCACGGCACGTGGCAGACTCACTTCGCCTTCAGTTGTAGGACGGGCGAAATCGATCGTTAGCGCATGGCACCACGTGGACAGTCCCAGTTGAAAAGGCGAGACGACGGATCCGACGAAGGCGGGGGCGGGCAAAGCGGAAGGGGGCACGTCCCGAAGTTGAAAAGGTCGCGTGGTGACGGATCGGAGGGTGCGATGGGGGGCCAGGGGGAGAAGATGTCTCAGCCGTTGAGATCCCTTCGGCGGGGACGCCGACGCTTGGATTTGGGTGAGACGGCGTAAGTAGGGAGCATTTTCAAGCACTAGCCGCCCTTGGTGTGCCAGGAATTGGTCATGGTGGTGGAATTGGAAGCGTGCGTTCTCAAGGGATCGTCATCAGCGAGTCAGCACAACAAACGCCCGTGACTTCAACAACGATGATCGTGTCCGCTGTTGAACGTTCGGACAAAGGACCCGTTCATGTGCCACAAGCGCGCCACGTGGAGCCTCGAACAGAAACACAGTCGGCGGGTCGTCGAGGAAAGTCGTCCAGTTGTCACATGCAGGAAGCGGTGTTGTCCATGGGTCGAGTAGCGCTGCGGGGGAAAGGCGAGAAGAATGGCGTCCCGGTGAGGCAGGGAGGAAAGACGAGAGGAGGGATGGCACAACGAGGATGACGAGTCTTCTCGCATGAGGAAGAAAAAAGTGCGGCAGGGGGAGGAGTTGGAGGCGAAGTCGAAGTTGTGGACAGACGGGAAGACATTCCGGGGAAGTGGACCTGGTCGCCTGATCGCGGACGCTGTGCATGATTGCGCTGACTACTATTGTGCAATCGTCAATGGTGATGTTGGCGCCTCCTCACCGCGTGGCCTCATCATGCCACCCCGTGACGTTCCGCGTTTGCGAATCCAAGATCTTGTGCAGCGGGACGCAACCCTTGGACGGGCGAGGAGGACAGAGAACGTCGCTATGCTCGTCATCCACGGGTGGATCTTCAAGTCGTTTTCAAGATCCGACGGTTTCGCCCAAACCGAGTCGTATGTCTCCGCTGATTACTCGACCAATCTGGCGAGAGCAGTTTGGCAGAGCGTGGAGTGGTCGAGGGTAGTGTCACCTAGTGTTGTTTACCACACGCGCGCTCTGAGGATGGACATTCCATTGTCTTACGCGGGGGCCTACATCGAGGACAGGCCAAAGCACGATGACATGGCTGCCCATCAAGAGTGCACGGTTTTGTGTTTGGCTTCCTGCTTTCACGATGCGCTCCAAGGCGGCCAATGGTCCGACAATGGAAAAATGTCCAAGTCAAGGTTGAGCAGATTCGGGGATGCCTTCCGCCTGCTTCTCACCGCATGCATGTGGATCATGTGCATGGGAGGCGATGACGTGCGCTCCCATGAGGAGGCGTCGTACTACTCGCAGCTTGTGGCAAAGCCCACGCAGCCACGCTCATGGCAACAGGGTCGCAGTCCTTCAGCTTGCGCTGACATATACTCCAGTCCGCAAATGCAGTTTTGACTCGCCTCGGGAAGCCGCCCTTGACGATGGGTGCGTATCCCAACTACATCCCGGAGTGGGCTTCGTGTGGAGTGCGGTTCAACTACCACGCTGGTTTGGCGGACCCCAACGTCGCCGCGAGGATGGATTGGATGGGGACTGGACCTTTCAATGGCGACCGGAAGGAGGACGGAGGCGACGACTAAGAAGGGTCCTGAAAGTGGTGGAGGTGCCAGTCCTGCACGTCGTGCCATCCTTCTTTGGCCATGAACTGGAAAGATCTAGAGTCTTCGACGACACGCTCGTCGACGTAGATTGTGAGTGTCGGGGGGGGGGGGGGGGGTAGGTATGAGGTGGTTATCGTGGGGCGCTTTCACGTTAGTCCGCCCAGTTCGCCAGTGTGATTGCGTGGATGGAGCACCGTTTTGTTTTTATTTTTGTAGTTGTGTACTGTGACACGTCGCCCACGGCGGCACATTCATGTCACAGCCGACCGCGGAGGTGGTCGAAAACTTTGTCGATTCCTTATATCTTTGCGCATCATATGTAGTTGTGAATCAAGGCCATGAAATCAATAACACCTTTTGACAAATCCCTTAACAACATCAACGGAGTCCACGTGTGCGATTGTGTGTGCGTGGTTCACTGTGTTTTCTAGCAAACAATGCAAACGACCCGTGATGTTTTGTGATTTTTGTTTTTGTTTTTGTTGTTGTTTTGTTTTCTTTTAATCGCAGTTGTCCTCTCTCTCGGCAGAAAGGGTTTTGTCGCAAGCTTGATTGACTGTCTCATCGACTGTTCGGTTGATCGACTGCTTTATTGATGGGTTGATCAGTTTGTCGATAAACTGACTGATCGATTGATGAATTTATCGATTGATTGATTGATCGATTGATTGATTGGTGGATCGATCAATTGTTTTTTTGTTTGATTGATTGATTGATTGATTGATTGATTGATTGATTGATTGATTGATTGATTGATTGATCGATTGGTAGATTGATTGATTGCTGGATTGATTGAGTGATTGTTCGATTGTTCGATTCATTGATTGACCCTAATAGATTGATTGATTTATTGATTGAATGCTCAAATGCTTGAATGACTGATGGATTAATCGAGTGGGTGGTTGATTGATTGATCCGGTGATCGAATGTTTGAATAATCGATTGATTGGTTGATTGGTTGATCGATTGATTGATTGATTGTTCAGTCGAAGGAATGTAGTTATAGTGTGCTAATCAAAACATATATCGATCACTAGGTTTGCTGCGTTCCAGAATTGCGGCTGACAGAGAAACGAAATGCACATTTCAAACAAGAATGACCAAAATCGTGAGCAATTCAAGCATTCGATGTGTGTATGCTCGGAAAATAAACCAACGCATGTAGATGACATTGAACAAAAAATTTCCCAGGACACAACTTCGAACCATAACCTGTCCACACGCAGAAAAATCGTTGAAGGTGCAACAGAAGGACATGCAAGGAGACAAACATGTATAAATCACATAACAAAGGCGATACCTCCGTCCACATGAAGACCGTGGTGGAGCACCGCTCCCTCGCTCTTCCAATGTTCGAGAACAGAAGAAAACTAACGCCAAGAAAAAGGGATTAAAAAATATATATATATGTGTGTGTATATATATATTAAAAAAGAGTCGGCCAGCAATCACACTGCACGACACTGCCACTGGAGCACTACAACACCCGTCGAATCTCGAACGTCACCAGGTTCGCCCTCCATAAGAGATCGATGCATAAGCTACCGCCATGGGGAGACTTCGCGCGTTCACTCGTGCTTCATACGCTCCGCCAGCACTTCGCACAGGGCCAGCGCACGGGGACAATTGAAGTTCTCCACAATGGGGTGGGGAGGTTGATCCAAGCCCAAGTCCACTCGTCGGCGCACGCCATTCACGTCCACCTCCCACAACAAGTTCTCGTCGAAGTTTATGCCATCACCGAGAAGGATGTTGTGCAGAATGCATACTGCTTGGAACTGTTGTGGGAGAGTGTCCATATTCGTTTTGTGTGTACGGAGGAAGAGCCTCCACATCCCCTTCAATCTTCCGAAAGCTCTCTCCACTGCTCCTCTGGCGACCTTCTGCTTGTTATGGAACGACGATCCACTCCATAGGAGGATAGCCGTTATCCCCGAGGATGTACCCGTGTGTCTTCAACCCGAACGGTAGCACCACGGCAGGTCCACGAAAAAGATCCCCCTCCTTCGCACGCGCCCACAGACTCGAAAGTTGAAGCACCCGAATGTCGTGGCAGCTCCTGGTATACCCGACGAAAACATCTGTGACACGCAAGTCCAAGTCCACCACCACTTGCGCAACAACTGAAAAACGATTCCGGTCGAAGAAGTTCTCGAAAGGTGCGTTCGCCGGTTTGTCGACATATATGTGCGTGCAGTCTATGCAGCCATAGCAATTGGGGAAACCCTTGGCCTCGAAGGCACGCAGAGCGACCACCCGCCGCAACCTGGAAGGCCAAACGATCTTCTCCCGGTACACCCTCAGAAGTGCCCGAGTCACGTTCTCCACCGCAATCAAGCCTGATGCGCGTCCTATGTCGAATGACGATGTGCTGCTCTCGTACGTCTCCCTGCTCGCCCAACAATAAAGCGTACGCGATGATGTGATCCAACATCAAAGGTACCCTGTAGAATGTCACCCTCCACTGCAGATTAGGGGACAACGCCTCCACGATCTCCCGGAACACCCTAGCGGACATCCTCAGCTTCTCCTTATAGTACCCGTCCGCCGCGTCGTCCATCTTCCGGAGATCCTCCCATGACCCTCCCGTCCTTCTCCTCGTCCAGCACCTTGGAGTCGCCCACGGGATCACACCGGATGCCATGGCGCAGCAAAATTGCACAATGGATTTTGATAACGACACACAGTCGGGCACCTCCATTACTTGTATCATGAGCTGACGCTGCCTGCGAATGGACAACCTCATCTTCAGGCGAGCTGTCGTTCTCTGTATGCAATATCGTATGGCGACTGCCGACACAGCTGCAACCACCGCATTTCTCTCGAAAGTCGTCACTGTATTCGCACTGCCCCGCAGTTCTCCCCCATCTTAACGACGCGCAATGCGGAACTGCCCACCACTGTTTCGGTCGCCGGCACCCTCGCTCTGATGTCTCCATGTGGACAGGAACGACAACAGCACTACCCACGTCTCACGCAGGCCTGACGTGCGCGCTCATCTATGGCGGCCCGCAAGATTGTCGCGGACGGGCCGAATACGAATGTGTAACTCCTGACCGTTGTCGCACTCCGAGATCGTCATTGTCTGCGCTGCGTTGGCCCGCCTTCCAATGCCGGCGTATTAAGTGATGGCGGCCAGCACTCCTCCGCAGACGTTTCACTCCAATGTGCGCTGCACCGGTCTGGACACCTTGGGTATGGATGCATTTCAGCGAAGGGTTCGAAATTCGAAATTCGAACAGGGATGTTCCCGCCTTTTTTTCCCCCCAGCCCGGAAGCCCTCCCTGCCGCCGCCACCAGACCACGCCTGAGATGCACGGACATCCCACCGCACCGACGGACATCCAGCCCCGCGGCGGCGTATGTGCGTATGAAATTGGCCGCGTGAGACCTCCAAGGGTTTTTCGTGGGACCCATTCAATTAGGACGCAGTGAAACGACGACACCGAAAACTGGAAAATTTCCAAGGACCTCATCCTAACTCCTGAGGATTTTCCAAGGAGGGTCTAACGAGGCCCTAAGTTCACTCTAGATTTTTCATTTCTTGGGCTGTCAGAGCGGGTCGGTCCTTCTCACTCTAGATTTATCTAGAGCACCAGCCTGCAAAGGCCGTTTTTTCAAGGGAGGTCTGGAGGACCCTTGAAACGCCTTGGCTTTCCTTGAGTGGACCTTGAGTCTGGGCGGACAACCCAGGCTGGCGCTGTCCTGTAGTGAAATGGCCGAACTCAGAAAGTGACGGAGCAACTCTAGCTTTTGCAGAGTCTAGAGCTAGTGAGGCGATGTGTAGATTTTAGGACTTTTCATGACTCTGACAGCTCTAGAACGACTCTAGAAATTTTTCACGAGTCTAGAGTAGTGCAGTGAGCCCCTTTATCTTTTCTTAGCAGAAAGGCCCAAAAAGGTATAGCGCAGGTTGCACATCACATCAATGTAGCCGCCCATGGCGATGGCTCGGAGCACAGGCAGGAGACATAAGACCACATAGCAAGGCCAGCCTCAGGTTCCAGGGCAGCCCCAACGGCCAATTACTCCAGAAGCCACCCCTCAACAGCCACGAGGGGTGCAAGTGGGTCTCAACGATTGAGGCAGCAGGGCTCAGGATCCTCCATTGGTTCAGACAGTCAGGCATTGGCAGTGGAAGACGCTGGCCCTACTTTAGTCGAGGACTGTCTGTCCCTTGACTACGTTCCGGACAGGACAGATGGGAAGGCCCTTTTCACTTTTGGGGAAAGTTATTGACCCCCCCCTGGCAAATCCTTTGTCATTTTTCCACCCCAAAATGGTTGCGCCGCGGGGGAGGTCCCCCAAAGAAACTTTGCGTCATTCTTGCACCCCGGCTGGGCCGTTACATCACTTTCCCACCATTTTGCACAGCACGCCCTGCTGGTGTTACCGGCCCAGCCAGGCTGCGAAAACCACACAAAAAGTATTTTTGGGGGCCTCGGGTCGTTTCTGCAGCGTTTCTTCAGCCTGGCTGGGCCGGTGAAGCAGAAGGCTGTGCAAAAGTGGTGGGAAAGTGATGTAACGGCCCAGCCTGGCAAGCTGAACCTCACACCAGATTCCCTAACAGACCTAAGGCACATTCACAGGTAGGATAACCTTCTGTATGAATGAATGAAGGAGGGTTCTGAAGAAATTGCGCACAATTTTGATGACATCAGCAAAAAAACAACTATATATCTATAATTATATCAGCAAGCGCTGTGATATGGAATGGGATAATGAAATCAGACTTGTCTCTTTTTCAGCATGCATGCAAGCAGATGATGACTCAACTGGCGCAGGGCGCCCACACAAAGCTCAGAGATAAGAACGTGGCCAGGAACACTGTCTCAAATGGCTATGGCGCCCAGCCCCCACAAAGATTCCCACCCGATCAACTGTATACACCAGCAACTTGTTCGCACACACACGCACTCTCACACACTAACTAAGATCACCCTGAATGTCCCATACGCATACACACACACACACGACAGACTGCTTCTACCACTAACCGACGGGCAGCTATGGCTGCAGTCTCCTTCCTATGCTAGCTCGCGGCTATGGCCATGTCTTCCTCCTCTTAGCCCTCTTCTTCCTCGGGCACCTGCAGAGCTCCGTAGCACAAGACGCTCCGACAGCGCTTCCTCACGGCTCACAGGCAGAATGAATGAATGACTTGACGCTGCCTCTTTATTTATACTTCAGATCGTCATTGGTCTGGCCTTTGACCCTGGGCCCGGGGTGTACATAGTCCCACATGGTACTTGCTGACTAGACAAAGTGCGACCGGGACTGGGTACCGCTGACTAGACGAGGTAGGACTGGGACTGCCCTTTGCTGACTGGACTAGGACTGCCCCCTGCTGACTCACCTACGGACTGACTCCTATGACCCACGAAGACTCAGCTTAGACTAGTCTAGAAGGTCCTAGACTTGACCTTTCGAGACTGTAGCAGCTACGACCTGTCCTAACCCTACGACTGCTAAGGCTAAGGTCTACGGGTCAAACCCTCACGACCGGGCTATGTACAACAGTCAACTATACGACTTTCAGGGGTAGGTCGACACTAGAAGTTTGCTTGAAATGCCCTTATGGTTTTCTTATAAATTGAGGTGAAAAATGGGGGGTCGGTTTATCATCTCTCTAGGTCGAGGGTTCAAACACACAGGGTCAAACGGTACTGTACATGGCAAGGAAATGGTCTAGGGATTGAGCCCTGGGAACTGCATCTGTCACCGATGTAGGTGAAAACCGTTTCAGATAACCCTTCTTCTGTTAAAAAAAGAGAGAAAAGGGATAACCGTTCTTGTTATTTTTGTTGTGATCCTGGATATCTCACAGTGCAAAACTTGAAGAAAAGCAATGTCGTCTGATTGCAACAACTGTTACGAAAGAGATTGGAAGGAGAATAGATAAAGGAGGAGGAAGAATAGAGAATGGAAGAAGAAGAAGATGAACACAAGCAAGAACCAATGTCACTCCTCCCTCATCGCGCCACCATCTCCCACCTCCAACATATCTCCCAACATCTTATTAAAACAACAAGTGGACCTGCCGCAGCTACGCCGCGGCCGAAGGGGGGCGGGGAGAGGGGGGGGGGAGGAGACGGAGGAGATCGTCACAGAATGTTGGCAGGGTTGCATTTAATTTTTTTTTTCGAGGCGCTGTTTGATACCCCCTCTCTCTCTCTCTCTCTCTCTCTCTCTCTCTCTCTCTCTCTCTCTCTCTCTCTCTCTCTCTCTCTCTC